AGATTTTATTCATTTGAGACACAGAGATAGAACATGAGCAGAGGGAGAGGGGGAAGCAGGCTCCCCACTGAGCCAGGAGCCTGATGTGGGGTTCGATCCCAGGACCCTGGAATCATGACCTGAGCTGAAGGCAGACGCTTAACCATCTGAGCCACCCAGGCACCCCGAGAAAGAGAATCTTAAGCAGACTCCACACCCAGCATGGAGCCCAACTTGGGGCTTGATCTCATGACTCTCAGATCACAACCTGAGCCAACCAAAATCAAGAGTCGGATGCTTAACCGACAGCCACCCAGCTGCCCCATTTCTTTGCTTTTAAGCTGTTGTAATATGCTGTCCCCCACACCCTTTTACCCTTTACCAACTCCTCCTGGCATTTCTCTTTCCCTATTCTCAGAAGCTACAGTAGTTTCACTAAAAAAAAAAAAAGTCTGTGGGCTTCAAAACTCTTCTCTTTCCCATAATCACTGTTTACCTGTTTAGTCAGAAATCTCAGACTTCGGGGGATGCCTGGGTGGTTCATTTGGTTTAGTTTCTGCCTTCGGCTCAGGTCATAATCTCAGGGTGTTGGTATCGAGCCCCACATTGATGGCTGCAGAGCAGGGTGCCTGCTTGTCACTCTCCCTCTGCTCCCCCCCACACACTTGTGCTCCAGTGCACACGCTCGCGCGCTCTCTCTCAACTAAAATTTTTTTTTAAAGATTTTATTTATTCGACAGAGACACAGTGAGAGAGGGAACACAAACGGGGAGTGGGAGAGGGAGAAGCAGGCTTCGCGCAGAGCAGGGAGCCCGATGCGGGGCTCGATCCTAGGACCCTGGGATCATGACCTGAGCTGAAGGCAGACGCTTAACGACTGAGCCACCCAGGCGTCTCTCAACTAAAATCTTTTAAAAAGAAAGAAAGAAAGAAATCTCAGACCTCAGGAGTCTAGATGTCTTATAAGCGTGCCCTGTCTCAAGAAGCAAGACTTTCTATATACGTTTTTACGTAGTACTTGCTATAATAAGATCTCGTTTATATTTTGACACATTTCATTATAGTCCCTTCTTGAGCAGTTTTTTTCCACATACTATATGATACATTTTACTACCAGCTTCTTGGCTTAGCCACTAGCCAGTAGCCCAGCCGTATGTTTTTATAAATAAAGTTTTATTGGAACCCAGCCATTCCTATTACATATTGTCTGTGGCTCCTTTTGTGCAGACTTGAGAAGAAACTGTATGGCCTGTAAGCCTAAAAAAAAAATTTTTTTTTTTTTTTAAAGATTTTATTTATTTATTTGAGAGAGAGAGAATGAGAGATAGAGAGCACAAGAGGGAAGAGGGTCAGAGGGAGAAGCAGACTCCCCACTGAGCAGGGAGCCCGATGCGGGACTCGATCCCGGGACTCCAGGATCATGACCTGAGCCGAAGGCAGTCGCTTAACCAACTGAGCCACCCAGGCGCCCCCCCATTTTTTTTTTTTTAAGATTTTTTAAGATTTTATTTTTTGACAGAGACAGCAAGAGAGGGAACACAAGCAGGGGGAGTGGGAGAGGGAAAAGCAGGCTTCCCGCAGAGCAGGGAGCGCCTGAAGCAGGGCTCGATCCCAGGACCCTCAGATCATGACCTGAGCTGGAGGCAGACACTTAACGACTGAGCCACCCAGGCTCCCCTGCACGCCTAAAATATTTATTATGTGACCCTTTAAGAAAATTTGCTGATCCCTGATCTTAAAATAATACCTTTCAAACTTTTAGACCATAGAATGCTATTTTTAAATGGAAGCTTAAGTCTGATATGTAAAAAGAGATTAAAAAACAGTTCTTGTCACTGGGTGACAAGTGGGGAGATCTAGAAACTGATGGACTTGACCCCTAATCTGTTCTTGGACACTGGAGTACCTTCATGGAACCTCAGATGTTCCCTGAAGTAGAGTTTTCAAAATAGGATTTTTAAGAAGATGCTCTTCAAAAAGAGGTAACCACCCAAGCATGCTTTCCAAAATACTATTCTTAATGGAAGAATAAACGCTTAATTATAGGATATAACTTTAAGTTTCTTGGGTTCTGGTAGTCTGGGATTGATTTTTTTGAAAAGTTGAGGTTAAAATCCGTAAGTGGGATGGGGCACCTGGGTGGCTTAGTTGGTTAAGCATCTGTCTTCAGCTCAGGTCATGATCCCAGAATCCTGGGATCAAGCCCCACATCAGGCTCCCTGCTCAATGGTTTGTCTGTTTTTCTCTTTCCCTCAGCCCCCTCTCCCTGTTCATGCTCTCTCTCTCTCATAAATAAATAAATAAAAATTAAAAAACAAACCGTAAGTGGGGTCATACATAAAAACCAGTTCAACAGATAAGTAGTAACCCAGTTAATGAGAACATCTCACCTAATAAAGTGCTGTCCTAAACCTACTTTTGTGTTTTTGCTAATAAAACCATTCCTAGTTAACACTTTGGGCAAAAAAAACAGCAGGATGACTATTAGCATAGTATATGCCATTAGATTTAATAAAATAAAGGTAAATCTTAATATTTTCAGCATAAATCACCATACCCCTTGTGTTCAGATGTCTTTGAGATTTCATTTGGGAAAGGAGAATCACACGATATGTTTTTATTTCATAACGTATCCTCTCAGATGGCAGTGAAGCAGGGAAACCAACTGCAGATGCAAGTCCATGAAGCCCCGCCATCAGCTGTACCAGAAAAGCGGCCAGTCGTGAGGTCAGGGAAGAAGCCCCTTGCACATTATTCATCACTGGTGAAGGTTTTAGGATCAGACATGAAGACCCCAGAGGAGCCTACAGCCCAGGTATGAAGGGAATGGACCTGTCTCTACATAGTTTTTCTAGCTTTAGGTCTCATTGTCTCTGGTGTAACATTTGAGCTGTCCATCAAAGATTTGGAAGTTACTATGACCCTGTCTGCCTGACTTTCTGAAACTGGTAACTGCTTACTTCTGGAGAAGGGGCAAGAGGGTGATATAGAGACTTTGTTTTCCTTTTGTACCTTGTCAGACTCTTTATTGGGTTTTTTTGACCATACATTTCTGTTACCTGACAAAAGAAACTTCAAAGTACTGCATTTCAGGAAAATGATCTTAAACAAGGGCGCCTGGCTGTCTCAGTTGGTAGAACATGCGACTCTTGATCTCAGGGTTGTGAGTTGGAGCTGCATGTTAGGTGTAGAGATTACTTTAAAAAAAAATTAAAATTGGGACACCTGGGTGGCTCAGTTGGTTAAGCATCTGCCTTTGGCTCAGGTCATGACCCCAGGGTCCTGGGATTGAGTCCCGCATCAGGCTCCTTGCTGAGCAAGGAGCCTGCTTCTCCCTCTGCCTGCCTCTATCTCTCTCTCTCTCTGATAAATAAATAAAATCTTTAAAAAAAAAAAATCAAAATCTTTTTGAAAAAATAATTATCTTAAACAGGAAAAAAAAAGCAACCTCCAAGATCTTGGGTTGTGTTTCTTGCAGCGGTTTCCACTTGCTCCCCGTGACGCAGACCAGCCTCAAGACAAGCCCCCAGACTGGTTCACAAGCTACCTGGAGACAGTGAGTATTCTCTCTGGTGTGGGTTTTAGCAGCCGTGTTGGCACAGGTGGAGTGTGGGAGAAATAAAAAACAACCCAGATGTCTGCTGCCTCTGGTGCATGAGAATGAGAAGGAGTAGCTAATCATTTCCAAACTAGAGCAGTCCTAGTCCAGAAAGCTCCTAACTTCTACAGGGATGTATCGGAAAAAGTGGGAGCCTAATTCTAAGGATGAGGGAAAGGAACAAGTCTCTATGCTTGAGAAGGAAGAGGTTAGAAATTTACTCATCAAAATGATTTCTTGGTATCCCCTTTGAACCAGTGTACATGTGGAAAGAATAGACCTTCTTTTGCTACATCTCTGTCCATTCATTCAGGAGCCACTAGCTTTTTATGATGTTCTTATACCAGAGACAGTAAGGTATCTGGTCTATTTGATATCTTCAGGCCTTTTTCCAATGTTGGAACTGAGGTTTTTTTTCCCATCTTCTGTATTCTAGTTCAGAGAACAAGTGGTTAAAGAAACAGTGGAGAAACTTGAACAGAAATTACACGAGAAGCTAGTCCTCCAGAACCCGTCCTTGGGTTCCTGTCCATCAGAAGTCTCAGTGCCCATTTCAGAGGAAACACTGTTTTTGCCGGAAAACCAGTTCAACTGGCATATTGCTTGCAACAGCTGCCAAAGGAGGATCATCGGTGTGCGCTACCAGTGCAGGTGAGCGGTCCCTTCGGAACGCAGAGCTGTTAGAAGACCTCTGAACAGGCCTTCCTGGCATTCTGGAGAGGTAGAGGGAAATTGGGCATACTCTATCTCTGAGCATCACACATAGATAGCAGCTCTAGATTGGAAACAAACTATTCGTCACCCACAAGAAATACTATTTAAAGGGTAACTATTCAGATTGTTGATGTGTTCGGATATACATTTGAACTAACAGAGCCAGATAAAATTATGTTCCCCAAAACAAAATTATACCACCAGGGATTATCTCCCTCTTGTTCCAAATGCTTTCATGTCTTGTTTTCTCCCATAGATTTTCCTTTGAAATGGATACATGTTTAGTGCTGTTACCTTCATTTTATTAATAAGGAAACTTGAGACAGGGCATAGCCAGGTGACATGCTCAGGTTACCACCTAGCTAGGAATACAGCCAGTATGGAAGTCTGGTCTCCTCTCTCACTACCTCTGGTACTTCCCACTTGCCATGCTTTTCCCCACAGCCTGTGCCCATCCTACAATATCTGTGAAGATTGTGAATCAGGGCCATATGCCCATGACTCCAACCACGTCCTGCTGAAGTTGCGGAGACCTGTGGTGGGTTCCTCTGAAGCGTTCTCTCATCCGAGGTTCCCCGCCCCTCGTCTCCCTGCTGCTCTGGAACAAGCCAGGTAAAACCATAAGTACACGGGAGCCTTGTTCTCGGATGGGCATCTTGGTTGCGGTGATGGGGCATGAAATCACACAACTGCAGTCTCCTTAGTTCTTGCGCATTTTCAGTTGATGTGTGACAATGGGGATGATGAGCTGAAGCTAATGAGACAGAAATGAGAACTGTAGAAAGAAAGTTAAGCGAGAAGCTGGCACTGATGGAGGCTACAAGTGGCTCAAAATAGCTTCAAGATTTGTTTATGAGGTTTGTTTTTTTTTAAGACTTTTCATTTGTTACCTCACAGGCTCCAGAAACAGGTCGACAAGAATTTTCTTAAAGCAGAAAAGCAAAGGTTGCGAGCTGAGAAGAAGCAGCGAAAGGCAGAGGTCAAGGAACTCAAAAAGCAGCTGAAACTCCACAGGAAAATTCATCTGTGGAGTTCCATCCATGGACTCCAGAGCCCCAGGTCCCCTTTGGGCCGTCCCGAGAGCCTGCTGCAGTCGAACACCCTGATGTAAGCCTGGGGCCAGGGTGGGCACCAAGGCTGGAGGTTCAGCCTTCCAAAACTGGAACTTCAGCCAGGTTTTCTCTTACTTATCGGCAGTTCCTAACACCCAAACTCTTAGAATTTCCCATCCTAGGGGTGCCTGGGTGGCTCAGTCAAGTTAAGCATCCAACTCTGGCTCAGGTCGTGATCTCAGGGTTTTGAGATCAAGCCCCGCATCAGGCCTCCAAACGCAGTGGGGAGTTTGCTGAAGTCTCTCTCTCCCTCTCTGCATACTCAATAGCATGCACACGAGCTCGCTCTCTCACTCAAATAAATCTTTAAGAAAAAAGAATTAAAACTTCCCATTCTCTGATCCTAGCATTCTTAAAGGGTGGTTTGGTAGTCATTGTTGGCTCTTTGAGCAGCCAGTAGGGTTCCAAACTGGATGGTATGCCCTCTCTTCAGTGGAGGCAGTTGGGATTTGAAGAGCCTGACTCTCCAGTTCTTTTATTTATGGATGTTTATCCTCACTAGAGCTTTTCAGTTCAGGAGTAAGATTTGTCTTGGTGGTGGTGGTGGTGGTTGTGTTGTTTAAGATTCTATTTTAGGGCGCCTGGGTGGCTCAGTTGGTTAAGCAACTGCCTTCGGCTCGGGTCATGATCCTGGAATCCCGGGATCGAGTCCCACATCGGGCTCCCTGCTCAGCAGGGTGTCTGCCTCTCCCTCTGACCCTCTCACCTCTCATGCTCTCTCTCTATCTCATTCTCTCTCTCAAATAAATAAAATCTTAAAAAAAAGATTCTATTTTAACTAACCTTTACACCCAACATGGGGCTCAAATTTAAAACCCAGAGATCAAGAGTCGCATGCTCTACCAAATGAACCAGCCAGGTGCCCCAAATCTGTCTTTATTTTTATTTATTTATTTATTAAGATTTATTTATTTATGGGGCGTCTGAGTGGCTCAGTCAGTTAAGCATCTGACTTGAGCTCAGGTCATGATCTTGGGGTACTGGGATTGAGCCCCGTGTCGGGCTTTGTGTTGAGCAAGGTGTCTACTTCTCCCTCTCCATTTGCCTCCCTCCCCTGCCTGCTCGTGTGCACTCACACACTCTTTCTCTCTCTCTCTCTCAAATAAACAAATAAAATCAATTTTATTATTTATTTGAGAGAGAGTGTGGGAGGAGGGGTGGCGGGAGAGAATCTCCAGCAGACTCCCCACAGAGCATGGAGCTCAACATGGGGCTCAATCCCACAACCTCGAGATGACCCAAGCTGAAATCGAGACTTGCATGCCCAACCAACTGAACCACCCAGGTGCCCCTCTGTCTTGTTTTTTCAAAAATTTTATTAGTATTATTTTTTTTAAAGGTTTTATAAGTAATCTGTACCCCCACGTCGGGCGCAAACCTACAACTCCTAAATCAAGAGTCGCATGCTCCACTGACTGAGCCAGCCAGGCACCTCCATTAGTATTATTTTTAAGGCAAATGCATCAGTACATTGTGTCACTCTCAGCCTCTTGAACCACAGTGTTAAGATATTCAGAAGCCATCATACCCAACACAAGTGACTGTCTGAATTTCTGTTCAGGCTCCCTTTGCAGCCCTGTGCCCCAGTTATGCCGACCCTCAGTGCAGCATTTGTGGATGAGAATTTGCCTGATGGGACTCACCTTCAACCAGGAACCAAGTTTATCAAACACTGGAGGATGAAAAATACAGGAAATGTCAAATGGAGTGGAGACACAAAGGTATTTTTTTCCCCCACGGAATGAAGATGAGGTGATTTGAAGTGACAGAAAGCTGACAAGCTTTCTTTCTCTTATCCCTGTTGTTTGCAGCTCAAGTTCATGTGGGGAAACCTAACTTTGGCTTCTACAGAAAAGAAGGATGTTTTGGTTCCCTGCCTGAAGGCCGGCCACGTGGGGGTTGTGTCTGTGGAGTTCATCGCACCAGCCTTGGAGGGAACGTACACTTCCCATTGGCGTCTTTCTCACAAAGGCCAGCAGTTTGGGCCTCGGATCTGGTGCAGTATCATAGTGGATCCTTTTCCCTCCGCAGAGAGCCCTGAGAACATTGAAAAGGGCATGATTTGCTCAAGCAAAGCTGATGAACTCACCTGCCAGCAAGAGGTGAGCATTGGAAGGGGAGACTGACGCTACAACAGCCCACTCAGAACTGATTGGTTCCTCCAGAAATCAGGAAAGGGTAGCTCCTCCCCCTAACATGCCAGAATGCTTCCGCTGGGCCCATTCCTTGGGGTTTGTTTGCATGTCCTTAGGATCTTGGTGCAGGCATCCCTCAGTGCTTTTGTATCTCTTTGTAGTGAAGTTTGGCCAGCCTCTTTGCTGCGCGCGCGTGGCTGCCTGGCCTATTGAACGGCCGGACTGATGGCTTTGCTCCTTAACGCTCCTCTCTCCCGAACATCCTATGCGTGTGTTCCCTAAATACTAATGAAGTCTTGCCCTTGTCTTTAGTTGGTGCAGTTTTTTTAAGCAACTTCCCTTTATTATTGGGGCACTTTTTTTTCTTTCTCCCCTCCCCCCTTCCCCAGGCTGTGGAACACTGTTTTTTAGAGCATTTTGCTGCTTAGATTTATTTATTTACTTATTTATTTATTTTTAAGATTTTATTTTATTTTTTATTTATTTGAGAGAGAGAGTGAGAGGGAGAGAGCACAAGAGGGGGTAGGGTCAGAGGGAGGAGTAGACTCCCTGCCAAGGAGCCTGATGCGGGACTCGATCCCGGGACTCCGGGATCATGACCTGAGCCGAAGGCAGTCGCTTAACCCAACTGAGCCACCCAGGCGCCCCTTTACTGCTTAGATTTAGTTAACCAAAGTTATCCTGCTTTTGACAGTTGTTACTATGGTTAATCTAACTCGTCATTAAAGGAAGCAGCTAGGTGAAGGGGATAGTAAGTGAACACACTGTATTATTTTTGCAACTTTTCTGTAAGTCTAAGATGATCTCGAAACAAGATGCAGCAGGGTTTTGGTTTTTAGGGAGGCAACTGTCAGTTTTCCTTTTGAGTTCAGTTGAGGGCCTAAAATTTGTCCCAATGGGTTGTCTGTATAGGAAACTTTTCTTCTGGCTAAAGAAGAAATTCAGCTTGATGAAGCGACTGAGCAGACCAAAGGGACAGGAACCTGCATCGCACAGAAGACAAACCATGTTGCCAGCGAGAGGGAGCTTTATATCCCATCCGTGGACCTTCTGACTGCCCAGGTGGAAGATTGAGCACTTTGGGGGGCAAGGGACAGAAGGCAGTGGAGAAAGAGTCCTTACCCTGTTGAGGAGAAGGTGGTATGGCCACAGGCGTTGCCCAGCGAGTGAGAGACCTGCCCACTTGGATCGAGTCAGATGCATTGAATGGCAGGGGGGTCGCCTGTGGAAGCAGGCTTCTAAGTGTTTCTTCTGAATCAGGAGCTCAGTCTCGGGCTTCCCCACAGCTTCCCTTTAGTTGTCTCTGCATTTCTGCTTTTCGGGTTCACTTTCACCCCCGCTGCATTTTCTCTCTTTCCTGCCACTTGGTTATTTGGACGTCTAGTTCCCACTTCACTCATCGTGATTTCACTTGACTGAGGTGTGAGGCGTCAATTTGAACAGAGTCTGGGGAGGTGTGGAGCTCAGTGGAGCAAGTCCCCTCAGACAAAACCTGGCCCCAGCATCCACTGCGAGTAGCCTGACGTTGCCCTTTTTGTCCTCAGGACCTGCTGTCCTTTGAGCTGTTGGATATAAACATTGTCCAAGAGTTGGAGAGAGTGCCGCACAATACTCCCGTGGGTAAGAATGTCATTCAGCCCAGGTGGTTTATTTTATTAACAGACACAAAAGCGCTACACCGTAGACCCTGGTAGTGAGACTCTTATTCCGAGGAAATACTCGGCAAGGATTTCTCCTACAGCGTGACGTTAAAACTGCACGCATGGGTCCATTTTCCTCCTTTTCCCTGCTGTCTGTCAGAGTCAACAGTACAGGTTTGTGCAAGGCTTCTCCACCATAAAGGGACCCTTGAGGCACCTGGCTGGCTCATTCAGTGGAACGTATGGCTCTTGGTCTTGGGTTTGTGAGTTCGAGCCTCAGGTTGGGTGCAGGGATTATGTCAAATCTTAGGGGCGGGGGTCTTCATTTTTCTCTGAATGTTACGTCCTCTTACTCGTTTACATTCCTGGTTCTGCATCTTGGCCATGGTTTCTCAGGCCACACAACTGTGACCCCTCCTGCACTCATTGATCGGAGGTACTTCTATGCCTAGTGCTCTGGAGAAATTCTTTACAACAGGCCTTGAAGCATGCCTAGATATACTTCAGCCCTGCAGGAGGCAAGAAGCCTGTGAGCTGTTGCTTCGAGACACCATTAATGATGTGTTGCCTTTTTTTTTTTTTTTTTTTTGGGTTGATGGTTCTTCTGTCTTCGTTCTCCAGATATGACTCCCTGCATGTCTCCTCTGCCGCATGACAATCCTTTAATAGAGAAGCCAGGCTTGGGGCAGATACAGGAAGAGAGCGAAGGGGCGGGATTTAAAGTGCTTCCCGGTAAGGGACTAAATATTTGTCAAGTATATGCATTGTCCCCTCCCATATTAACACCATTTTCACACAAACTCCCTCCCACACTTACCTTAGCATCTCAGTGGGTTTTCTGTAGCTTCTCATTTTGTGAAGTCTCCTCACCTTCACATGGGACCGACAGCAGCTGTTCCTTGGCATGGGATCCGCATGGGTATGTAACTGGAGGAAGCTCCTCAACAGCAAGTACAGACAAGGCTCATGTCTTTCAGATCCCACAGTGTCAGTGAAGAGGAAGGCTCTGAACATTGCCTCAGTGGAGGAAGCAGAAGATGACCTGAGTGGGACCCAATTCGTGTGTGAGACCGTAATCCGATCCCTTACCTTGGATGCTGCCCCGGATCACAACCCACCTTGCAGACAGAAGTCCCTGCACAGTGAGTGTCCCCGAGTTCCCCCAGCTAGCAGGGCGCTGTTTGAATTGCGACTGCCCGACCTGTGTAGGAAGAAGGGCTCTTCTTCACTGAGAGTGGCGGTTGGGTGATCTTTGTTAGAATTTGGATCATGGTGGTTTCTGTAAACTCCACACACCGTACCCGACCGTTGTAATTATAGCCTCAGAAGCAAAGCAGCCACCATACCCCAGCTTCACCCTCTCTCAGGGGCAGAACTGCAGCAGCTGCTTGTGCCGCCTGAATTCTGCACTGAGGAGTCTTCCTGTAAGTTGACTGAGCTCTTCAGCAGAGACCTGCACTGGCAGCTGTAGTTGTATCCTTTCTGCAAGGACACAGTCCAGGAAGCAGTGGGCAGAGCATGAGTACCAAACTAAGTTTCCCCGGGTTAAATTCTGCTGTAATCAATTTCCTTTGTAACAGAAACTTCTAGGTATTGGATAGGTAGAGACCATACTATGTATTTCAAGAACTATCCAAAACTTCAAATTCTAGGGCATCAAAATAATATGGGAAAATTTCTGGTGTTTATTATAATAAAATTTGACCTCTACTTTTACTTATTTTTTTTAAAGATTTTATTTATTTATTTGTCAGGGAGAGAGAGAGAGCGCACAAGCAGGGGGAGTGGCAGGCAGAGGCAGGGGGAGAAGCAGGCTCCCCACTGAGCAGGGAGCCCGATGTGGGACTCGATCCCAGAACCCTGGGATCATGACCTGAGCCCAAAGCAGCAGACGCTTAACAGACTGAGCCACCCAGGTGTCCCAAGACCTATACATTCATCCATTCATTCATTCATTTATCTATTTATTTATCTATTTATCTATCTATGGAGAGAGAGAGAGACAGCAAAAAGGGAACACAAGCAGGGGTAGTGGGAGAGAGAGAAGTAGGCCTCCCACCAAGCAGGGAGCCTGATGCAGGGCTCGATCCCAGGACCCTGAGATCATGACCTGAGCTGAAGGCAGACACTTAACGACTGAGCCACCCAAGCGCCCCCCAAGACCTATACTTTTAAATACGATTTGTCTCACTTTTGTTTAAAATACACACACTCAAAAAAAATAAAATACACTCATTTCCCCCTCCCCCCAGACTTGTGTACAAATGCATAACAAAAAATGTTTACAGTAGTCATCTCTGATAGGATTATAGGTATCTCTTTTTCCCCTCATCCTTGTTTTGCCGATTTTCTGCCATGACTATCCCTTACCTAGCAAAGAAAGGGAGGAAAGTAGGCATACAGTCCTGCAGTACTCCCCACCTAATGTTTTCTCTTGTTGTAGCACCCTTAGCTAATATATTCGTTTTGATTAGTCTTTAAGATTCATGGTGCCTCTCAGAAGCCTTGATGTTTTTCTGTACCTCGTGAGCTTCGGTTCTTTCTGGCTTTGCCTAGGCTTCAGACTTAGAATGTGGCCATTAGTGGTTCTAGGGGCAGCCCTGCCCTCTGGCCATCCCTCTCCTCTGGCTTTCATGATTGTAGCTCAGGACCCACAAGGCTTTATCAGGTAAGGGTAGCACTGGGAGTTGCTTTTAGTTTATAGCTTAAAATGGATTGCTTTCATCCTTTAGTGAAATCTGCCTCCCCTGCAGAGGGACCACTTGGAGATGAGCGGGAGGAGGTTGTCCATAGCGCCAAAGAAGCTGTTGTGGAGGAGGAAGAGGAAGAGGAAGATGAACTCAAAGATGAAGTTCAGAGTCAGTCCTCTACTTCTTCAGAGGATTACATCATCATCCTGCCTGAGTGCTTTGACACCAGTCGCCCCCTGGGCGACTCCATGTACAGCTCTGCACTCTCACAGCCAGGCCTGGAGCGAGGGGCTGAAGGTGAACCTGGGGTTGAGGCTGGGGAGAGACTCACTGGAGGGGAGAACCAGCTGCAGGAGCAGAGCATCAACAACATCCTCATGACCTCACAGACTCTGGACACAGTGCCCCTCATCCCGGAGGTGGTGGGGCCTCCACCACAGCTGTCCAGGTACCATCCACACCCCCGTCAGCTGGGCTGTTCTTCACAGGTGGAATAGGGAAAAAACAACTACATCTTTTTTTTGTGTGTCAGCATGGGACTTTCCCGTAGGAAAGTCTGAATTTAGATGAATAAAAGTTGTATTTCCCAGAATTTGTGGATTCTGAATTTAAAACCGTGCTTGTTCTTAATTATCTGAGAATAGTCTATCTACTTCTGTTTTGATCATTGAGAGCCAGTTTTTTGTTTGGTTTGGTTTTTTGCTTTTGCTGCCAAAACCCAGGATTGAAGAGAGCCAGTTTTTAAACACAAACATCCCTGGATCTTCCTTCCCCGCTCTGTTGACTCATGGGTAAAGGCAGCAAAACTCATTCTCACGTTAACCCAAAGTATAATAGGCAGTTTAAACTATTATGAAAAAAATATATTCTAAAACCAGAGAACAATTATTTTTCATTATCTACTGATCTGTGTGTGTCATTGTTCTGTCATGGTATGGCAGATGGTGGAGCCTTGACTAGGATTTAAACCACTCTCTCAGGGAGCTAGACATTTCCCTTAATTAGTCCCACTTAATGGAGCGGGGAGCGACCAGACTCAAGCCGGTCCCTCTAGCTTGAGCCCTTCCTACCTGATCCCTAATTCAGACATGAGATCTGGATCAGAAAAGTGAAGCCTTTGTAGAGAATCTGCCACAGCTGTACCACAGGTACTGTTTCTACAGCGTTCCCATAGGTGCCTTTTCAGCTGACTTTCGATATTGTGTCTTTCTGAAAGGAGCCTTCCTTGTGCACAGCCAGATGGTTCCCCAGGAGTGGATTTACCAGTTACCATACCAGCAGTTTCTTCAGTCCCCGATCAGATCAGAGGAGGTAACGACCAGCCTGAGCATGATGTCTTTTTCCGTGCTCCTTTCTAACGAAACCAGGCACTGCACTCTGTCTTTGTGATTCTTGGCATTATTTGGAAACCTGCCCTTGTATTTTTTCTGTGGCCCTCCCTCACATTCTTTTCTGTCCTCTAGCTTCATATTTATTAAATGAGACCTCACTCACAGAGGTGGGCATTGTGCTGCAGGGGAAAGAACACAGGCTTTGGAGCTAGACCGGTCTAGGTTCCAGGCCTGGCTTCCCCTTTCCTCACTGTGTGACCTTGAAGCGGTTCAGCACGGTCATAAAACCTGCGGGGCTGTTTTCTTGCTGAAAATAAGGAGAATAGCACCTTGAAGTTGTTAGTAGACCTTCAAAGTAACTTCCCACTCTTAATCAAAAAAACAAAACCTAAAAGTACTTAGAAATTAATAAATGCGTATGATAGGATTATAGGCTTAGTTTTTCTAATTAAACAGTCACCTTGCATTACATTCTGGACAGTTCCTCCCTCTCAAAACTCGCCTCATTATGCGTTAAGAAACACTAGGCACTTGTGGATGCCACATCTAACCAATAGCTCTTTTGCTTTTAGAGCCCAGAGGCTCATCAGGACTTGTAAACAGCAGACAGAAGAGCTATGACCACTCAAGGTAACTGGACCCTGTGCAGCCTCTTCCTTCAGAAGCAGGTGGATATCATAGTACTGCTTCTACTTACACAAGCTTCTCAAAGCTCATGTGCCACCTCCAGAGGACAAAGAAGGAGTGCCATCATTCCTTCTTGTTCTTATTTCTCCTGAAGCTTGTGAGCAACACTGAACAGAGGGCTCCAGTTACATTTAAGAGTGTTCACATTCCAGGGGTGCCTGCCTGGCTCAGCCGGTGGAGTGTGTGACTCTTGATCTTGGGGTTGTGAGCTCGAGCCCCACATTGGGTGTAGAGATCACTTAAAAAATCAAGTCTTTAAAAAAAAAGTGTTCATATTCCAGACCAGTACTCTCAAATTCACCTCAGCTTAGTACCAAAGAAGGCAGGAAGGTCAAGCCCACTGTACATCTTAGTAATGGTTTCTTAGACACACCTGCCTCTCTGTTCCCAATCATCTCAGATTAGTGGCAAGCTGCACTCCTCCCTTCAGTGCCCAGAAAATCACATTTCCTTTGGAAGCGTATCCTCTGAGATGATAATTAAGCAGACAGACTGCTGACACCCCTCTGTGCCCTTGACCGGATAATTTTCAGCTGGGACAGAAGGCTGGTGTACTAACCCGAGGGGTGTTTTCCTGCAGGCCTTATCTTGCAGTAGTAGATCTGGGCTCTACATCAAACCAAGCTTTGTAGCTATAAAACTAGTAGGAAAATGATCACATTCTGTTTTTACATCTGACTTCTTTTCTCAGGGAAATCCATTTTCTTTCAAGGATTAGAGCCCAGATTAGCTTGTAGGAAGATAATGGTTTGTGTTTTTTAGGAAGATAATTTGGTTTTCCTCCCCAGGCATCACCACCATGGGAGCAGCATTGCTGGAGGACTGGTGAAGGGGGCTTTGTCCGTTGCTGCTTCTGCATACAAGGCTTTGTTTGCTGGGCCACCAGTCACTGCCCAGGTCAGTGTATGTTTCGTTTTCCTGTACCAAAGCCGAGTCACCGGTGAAAATGATGCTGCCTGTCTGGGTTGGAGAGTAGTATGGCATTCTGCCACTTTCTAGCTGTAGGACTTTAGCCAGGTTATTTAAGGGAAGAAAGGAAAAAGACCTAATGTTTGTTGAGGACCTGTTACATGTAGGGAGCTCTTGCAAGTATGTGCTACAAGGTGAAGAAGACACCAGTCCCTGCCCAAAGAGAGTGGGACACAAGTGAGGTAAATAGTACAGTATAAGATCCTGCACCAGTGTTCTCGGGTGGAACACCTCAGCCTGCTGTGGGCCCCTGCGTGGGGCCAGAGAAGGCTTCCTGGTAGATGATGCCTGAACTGAGTCCTTAAGGACAAAATAAGTATGTGCCAGGAAAGGGAAACAGCATTGTGACAGAGACTAGCCAGTAAAAAGAGTTGGAAATGTGAGCCTGAAAGGTGAATTTGGGCTGGGAAGAGGAAGAAGAGAAAAGCCTAATTTATGTAGGTGGGGTGCTGTGTTAAGTGGTTTGGGTGTTATTTTAAGGCTAATTGGGGGGTGGTGGGGAGGAGAGTGAATGGGTTTTAGGAAAATGATTAACATCAGATTTCTACCTAGTAGGATAATTCCACTATAGTGTGGGGGTTGGGGGAGCCCTAAAGAAATCATTTGAGAATCCATGTGTAGGTGGAAAAGAAGGGTAGAAGAGAAAGAGAAATGGCAGAACTTAGAGACCATGATTAAGAGGCTGGAAAGAAGTCAAGGAGGAATCCCGAGTTTCTGGCTTTGGGCAATGGATAGTACCATTCATTAAGAGACGATGCGCAGCGGGGGCACTTGGGTGGCTCAGATGGTTAAGCATCTGCTTTCATCTCTGGGTCCTGGGTCCCCAGCTCGGTGGGGAGTCTGCTTCTCCCTCTCTCTCTGCTCCTGCTTGTGCTCTCTCTCTCGAATAAATAAAAAATCTTTAAAAAAAAAAAAAAAAAGGATGTGCAGGAAGGAGGATATATTTGGGCAGGAGGAAAAGAAAATTACGTCCGTTTTGAATGGTGTGGAATTTGAGGCATATCCAAGTGAAGTTACCCACAGTGCAGGTGGGCATGTACCTGTGGCTCACAGAGGAATGATTTGGCTCGGAGGCCAAGTCACCTGTACACAGATTGTAGCGGAAACCATGTGATTGGGTGAGAGTTTCCAGGAAGAAGGGATGTAAAGCAAGAAGCAGCCTTTAAGGATCCAGGAAAGAAGGGCCCTGCCCAGGAGCCTGAGAAGTAGGAGGAAGATGTGCTGGAGCTCAGGGAAGGGAGCTTGAATGAGGAGGAGGTGCCAGTGCCCCTAGAGAACAGGGCGTAAGTGGAGAGGACTCGGAGAGTGCAAGTATGCTTCATTCTCAAGAGCGAGCTGGAGCACAAAGGGAAAGAGCGAAAGCTGGGCCACAGAAGGCGGAGCGAGGTAAATGTTTCTGTAGTCGGCCAAGCCAGTAGCCAAGGAGGTTAACAGTCAAGGTGAGAGAGGATAATTCACAGAAAGAGATGTCTGAGGTGGTGAGAGATCATGAAGTAGCAAGCAAAGGACATGTGGAAGGATTATCCTGGAAAGAAGGATGGGTAATTTCTTCTGAAATAAGAGGGAAGAAGGGAACAGTGGAGTTAGGTGTAGAGAGAAATGCCAGAGACTGTGCTTAACACGTGTACACACTCTTGTCCCAGTCCTCTCAACACCCCTGCCAAACGAGGTATTTTGTATCTCCGTTTTCCTACATAAGAGAGTTAATTGATAGTCAACACGGTAAGTAAATGGTAAGAGGGTAATCCAAGAATGAAATCTTGGCATTTGCAATGACGTGGATGGAACTGGAGGGTATTATGCTAAGCGAAGTAAGTCAGAGAAAGACAAATACCATATGATTGCACTCATATGTGGAATTTAACAAACAGGAACATGGGGGAAGGGAAGGAAAACTAAAATAAGACAAACAGAGGAGACAAACCATAAGAGACTCTTAACTCTAGGGAACAAACAGGGTGGCTGGAGGGGAGGTAGCGGGAATGGGGTAACTGGATGATGGGCATTAAGGAGGACACATGATGGAATGAGCACTGGGTGTTATATGCAACTGATGAATCACTGAACTCTACCCCTGAAACTAATGATACACTATCTGTTAATTAAAAAAAATATACATGAGTTAGGGTAATCCAAAGTGTTAGGATTTAGGAAGGTTATGTGTCCACCACAGGGCTTGGCCCAGAGAGGGAGGTAAAGGAGTGTTAGCTCCCTCTTTTGTGGATTGCTTCTGTTCTTTAAAAAGGAAAAGGGAAAAAAATGCCAAGGTCGCCCAAGATGTCATTTCGCAAGCAGTTTCTTGTTCAGCCCCTTTGCCTAGCTGACTGAACTCTGCCGGTAACCGTCTCTGCCCCTGCCTCCACTGGCGCCCCGTCAGCGCAGTTACCTTTATCATCACGGTGTTTCCAGTGCTTGCTTGCATCTTTTCCTTCATCGGGCCAAAGAATGCTGCTTTCTGAAGCCTCCTCCTCCTAGTTCTGAGGACAGTTCATTAGTTGCCCGGTTTCAGGTATAAACATACAGAATTCCCAGTTCTCCCTCAGGCAACCCGATAGTGTCAGGTGGACAGGAGTTGGCCATAGCCTTGCGTCGAATTCCCTCATATTTTAAACAGATCTTGGAAAGGTTTGTATGATTTTCAAGGTGATAACAATTTACAAGGCACATAAATGATACCAAAAATGTTGCTCTGCTTTTCTTGACTCTACACAGCCAATAGTTTCTGAAGATCAGACAGCAGCCCTGATGGCCCATCTCTTCGAAATGGGATTCTGTGACCGGCAGCTGAATCTCAGGCTGCTGAAGAAACACAATTATAACATCCTGCAGGTTGTGACAGAACTGCTCCAGGTCAACAACAATGACTGGTACAGCCACCGCTACTGAGGAGGGGCCTCGTATTAAATCACTTTGCCTGCTTCTCATAGGTGATCTTTATTCTGTCCTTGGGCATAGGGGAGAAAGCCCTGGCTTATTTTTTAATCTGATGAATCTCTATAGAGCCCATTTTTGAATTCTCAAGACAGTACCTGCATTACAGTATTTTTTGGAGCAAATCAAAGACCAGAACTGAAGCAGAGACATCGGATGGATGAATTGTAGGAAAACGGTTTTTTCAGTTGATTTGGATAAAGCTCCTGTCTCCATTTTTGTGCATTGAAGAGCATAACTTGAACTTCCTATAGAACCGTTTCTTTTTCTGCTTGTATCAAAGTTGAGTATTTTTCTTTGGTTAAATGTGGATGTTTCTATGGGGATATCTGTTGTCAGTTTTTAAAAGAAATTAACCTTGGAAGTTGTTTTCAAGAATTCTTACAATTTTTCTAGCCTACCCCAAGCCTCATAGCTATGCTGTATTGAAATGACATGGAGGATGGGTGACCCTACTCGTTTCCCTGCAAGACTTAGTAATCAGCACTGTTGTTTTCTAAAGACCCCATTGGTACATTCAAGAAGATCACCTTCTGGGTCTCCACACTTCAGTGAAAGGAGGGAGTGTGCTCATTAACCCACCAGCACCTATTGAGCAGTGTTTACTGTAGTAATTTTGCATACATTTTTCTTTATTTAAGGGAACAAATTTAAGTAGATAGTGTGAAATATTTTGCTAATACTGTAGAGATGGAGAAAACGTCTATTAAAAAAAGAAATGTAACAGTTACCTTTTTTTCTTAACATCAGGGCAGATGTTACTGGCAGATGTTACAGTCGAAAGGTGAAAAGTGAAAGGCAGGCTCCTAGTTAATCTAGTAAAGTTAGTTCAGGGGCGGGCAAATAGGAAATGCTGATGCCTTCTTGAATGTCTGAAATCTGCTCCAAGGTATCTAGCCTTAGAGAGCCTAGAACAGGAGGAGGCTCTTTTGCAAAACTTGGATGGGGACAAACTCTGAAAAAGTTTTGAGTTAAGCCCAAAAGGAATGAGAAAGCTTGCTGCCAGGGGCCCAGGTCCTCATTCTGTTTACAGAAAGGAGTCTTGGGTACAATGGGTGAAGGAAAAGGTAACACAAAAAACACTAAAAGCTATTATTCATGAAAATGACTTCCAGAAAAAGAAGACTCTTACCCTCATCCAGAAGGGGTAAGGATAGTAAACTAGTATTATTTAACCTGGTTGGTATTTATAATGAATGGTGATGTTAATTAATCATTAGTCATCATGATGTTTATTTACAGTATACTTCTTGACCGCTATTAAATAAACCAAGATTCAGACTGCAAGCCAACCAGGCTGTTCATTATTTAAAACGTTTTTATCCGGGCTTCTGGGTAGAGGCTGAGCGGCAGCGTGTGTGTAATTAATTGGGTTGATTTCGGGCGGGACCTGTTCCGACCTCCTGAGTCGTATTGTAGGGATCCAGAGAGGACGCCGAGGTCCAGCCGTCCGTCCGGTTGTACTTGTACATAACCGCTTTCAAGAATGGTGAAATAAAGGTTCTTTGAAAGTCCGACCTGGACTGGCTGATGCTTGCAGAAGCAGCCTCCGGGCCCCGGGGTGGTCTTTTAAGAGTTGAGCTCTTCCCTCGCCGCTGTGCCGAGAGGGGGCGGGCCCCTGGGAGGGGGGCGGGTCCGGAGGGACTGAGGCGGAGCCTCCGTAGGCACCGTGTCAAAGCTTGGGGCGAGCCCCTGGGTTCCCGCACTTTCGATTCCGCTTGCAGCCGGTTCTGTCCTGCTGTCGCCCGGGGGTGGGGTAAGGTGCTTCCCAGATTTTCCTTTCTTTCCCTTTGGGAGGCAAGGGCTGAGGGACCTGCAGTGCCTCCTAGCCTCACGCAGGCACTCGCGGCTTAACAGACTCGACTAACGGCCTCCGGGTGTCTGGAGGGACTTGAAATTCTCCCTCAGTGAAGTCCCAGCCTCTGCGGCTGCTCGGGCTGCCCCGCTACTCGGGCCCCTAGCCGAGCCCAGAAGTAAGGCTGGAAGCAGCTTAGCCCTTCGGGGAGGCCGAGGTCGCTGCTCCCCACCCTCTCCGACGCTGCATATTCGCTCCCCCAGGACTCTGCTGAAGGGGGCCGGTAGCCTGGCCAGCCCCAGCCCGTGGCCCCTCGGGTCACCGTGCCCTACAAGCCCTTCTCCCCAAAGACACATTCCAGAAATCGCACTCTTAGCTGACAGGAGCCCTGGATCCCAGACCTGAACCAGGTGAGGCTCTCTTGATTTTGGCCCAGTGAGGTCTGAGTGCGGCTCACCTTGCCCACTCATTCTGCCCCCAATCCTGAGCCTTTGGGGAAGAATCTGGATTTTTAGCCTTTACCATTCCTTACTGAAGGAAGGACCCTGACCATTGCCCCCATCTTTCCCCAGGCATTCTTGCCTACCACACAGCAGTGAGGAAGAGGCTTCTGCTCCGTTTCAGGGCTATTTTAAGGTTCTTAGGTGCACCTGTGACCAGCCTAGCTGCCTTTCCCTGTTTCAAAGAATCCCTGCCTTCCTATTAGGCCAGCACCTGTGAGGGCTCAGGAATGGAAGCTTTCCTTCCACTCCCAGGCTGGGAGATCACAGGCATTTCTGCTTGGGTGTTCTAGACACCTCTTCAGAGTCATCTTATTGCAGAGGGTGAAGGGACTCTGGACTGCGGCCTCCCCCACCGCCCACCAGCCCGTCCACTTGCTTCCCTTGAAGCAAGTGATGGATCAGCAACTTTCCCAGAAAATAAAGTGCTCGGTCATTCACTTCTGGAGGTCCCGTCTAGGGAAATAACTTCTGCTTTTGTTTTCTCTTCCCTCTTGTAGACAGACTGAGCTCCCCTGCAGTAATGAAAGGAAACGCACTGAGATTTCTGATCCCAGAGTCCCATGTAACTGCTCAGTTTTCCGTATCCTAGCTTCCTTGGGCTGGAGCTTGCTGAAATTGGGGTGGTGCTTCTTGCAAATCTTGAGAACCCAAAACCAGAGTGACATCCGGTGTCCGTGCTAACAAGCTTAGCACTGAATTCTGGTTTTTTCTCACTAGCGAAAACTCCCCCTGAATCATGGGTGAGACGTTCTCCCAGTCGGGCTCTCGGGAGGAGAACAAGTCAATCCTGCCTCCCAGCCCGGCGTTCGGCAGCAAGGCTGTCTGCTACTCCAGCACCCGAAGCAGCAAGTCTTTTTGTTCCCGCGTGCCTTGTGATGGGGCTGCCAGTGCCAGCTTTGTGACTTGTCCCACCTGCCAGGGCAGTGGGGAGATCCCGCAAGGTGAGTGGCCCAAGGCTTTGGCAAGAGCCTGGAATCCAGAAAAAGCCCTTAGCAGCCCGCTGGTCAGGCCCCTCTGAGCCTCCTGGAATGGGGTTGGGTCTCCCAGCTCTTGGTCCCCCAGCGGCAGGGGGACCAGCGAGATGTTCACTTGCCCTGCGCTCGCTTCAGAGACACCCCCACTCCTCCTGCCCTGGTGCTTCTCCCCAGCCACCTCCCTTCATCCCTGCTCCCTTAGGATTCCGGAAGTTACAAATGACCTCTCCAGAGAAGCTAGACTTCTCTCATTTACTGGTGCCTTCCGGAAATTCACACCTGTTAATGAAAATCTCACTTCCATTCCAGAGCTGACAAAGTTGAGCTGCTCTCATCTGCCCAGCGTTCCCAGTCCTGCTCTGGGGCAGAGGTGGCATGCTTCTGACTCGACTCTGGGGGGTGGAGGGGGCTGTTTCTGGGAGGCTGGCACAGGAAACCTTCATCATGCATACTTCTTAGCCCTCTCTCTTACCTTCTTTCTCTCTACAGACCTAGAGAAGCAGCTAGTGGCCCTCATCCCCTATGGGGACCAGAGGCTGAAGCCCAGGCGCACGTAAGCCCCTATTCTCACCTCAGCTCCACAAGCCGTCACCTCTGGGGGCTGTTCTCTTTGTCTCCCCCATTCTGCCTCCCATCCCCCTGCAATTCTTCTCCATTGGAAGCCTCGCTGAGTTCATATATACTAGCTCCATTTCCAGGGTTTTTCCTGGTTTAAGAAGTCTGGGGCACAACTGAGGGTTCTAGAGGGGAGGGGGGTGGGGGGATGGGTTAGCCTGGTGATGGGTATTAAAGAGGGCACATTCTGCGTGGAGCACTGGGTGTGATGCACAAACAATGAATCATGGAACACTACATCCAAAACTAATGATGTAATGTATGGCGATTAACATAACAATAAAAAATTATAAAAAAATAAATGAAAAAAAACAAAAAAAAAGAAGTCTGGGGCACAGCAGATGCCACCTGAGGGCACTCGGTGTCCTGAGCTTCGGTGCTTTCCCTCCTGGAAACAGGATCTCTTGACTCTGCAAGGCCTTTCGGGAGGGAGGGAGTGGCCCTGGCTGCAGTCAGTTCGGGGAAGTTAGTTTTCCTGCGAGCTTCCCTCTCTGTGGCATCTCAGACCTGCTTGTTCTCTTCCCGGTTGAGATGGAAAACTAGCTGCTCCCTGTTCTGAGATACTTCAGAGCCTCAGAGGCAGCCCCGAATTTCCCCGGGTCGGGGTCCTGACCCTGTTTGTCATCTGGGTCTCTTGGACGTGAATCCCTGCCACCTTCTCCCAAGGTGCTCAGCCGCAGTCTGCGAGCCACCAGCCTGCCCTCCCGGACCCCCGCACCAGAATCTGAGGCTGCCTCATAAATACTAACGAGGTGCTGTCTCTTTAATGCCTAGCTCAGTTTTGAGTTAGAGGGACGGATGATGTCCTGTTCTGAATATTAATTTTAAAATTCAGAACTCTCAAATTCATGTGGACGTTTCTTCCAGCAATGATAGCTAGCATTTGTTGAGCTTTGGTTATGTGCCGGGAGCTGGCGTCCGTGCCTTTTCTTGCGTTAGCCCATAACATATTCTGTGAGGTAGGTATAGTTCTCTCCGTTTACAAAGAAACTGAGGCCTGGGGAGCTTAAGTGGGTTGCCCAGAGCTAGTGGGTCAGTGGATACAGAGAGCTGGGAATGGAAGCCAGGCTGCCTGCCTCCTGATCCTGTGCTCCGACTCACTTTGGGCCGCATTTGTACCTGGGCTGGTCCTCCACCTCTGGGGGAGGTAAAAGCACAGCTGGGAGGGGGCTGGTGCAGGGGAGAGCCTTATACAGGGGAGAGGAGTGTCCCTCTCTGCCTAAGGTTCTGTCGTGTTCAGACTTCTCCCCTCCGCTACCCTGGGTCCTGCTTTCTTTCGCACAGGAAGCTCTTCGTGTTCCTGGCAGTGTTCGTCTGCCTTGTGATCTCCTCCTGCATCGTCTTTTTCCTGTTTCCCCGGTCCATTGCTGTGCAGCCCGCGGGCCTCAACTCCTCCACGGTGGCCTTTGACGAGGCTGACATCCACCTCAACATAACAGTGGGTGGATGCCCACACCCCTGGGCCCCACACTGCCTTGCTGGCAGCTCTTGTCTGTAGCCCTTGTCCAGTGTTGCCATCCCGGGCTCGGGTAGTCAGGGCTACTATGGCAGGCCAGAGGGCGTCAAAGCCTGGGGAGAAGCAGGCACAACCGTGAGCCCCACAGCAGATTTTGCAGGATTAGGACTGTACGCAGCGAGGAGTCAGAATCAGGGCGAGAGAAATAAAACACGGGGTGTGGTCGGGGGGCATGCCTGAGACTCCCTGGGCGGGCAGAACTGAACAGAGAGAAGCTCCGCAGGATGAGCCTGGGTCCTGGGCCAGCTTCGTGTCTTATGGTGACCCCTTTGCCATTAAGAGCCCCTCCAAGGGGCTCCTGGCGCTGGGCTTTGGCAGCTAAGGCCCATAGTGGGAGTGGGGATCAGTCAGACAGGGGGCTGGAGGGGGGTTTGGGAAGCTATTTGACTTCTCCTTTTCAAGGATGATCACCTTCCCACTTCCCTTTCCCTTGTCTTCATCCTTAGAATATCTTAAACATCTCCAATAGCAACTACTACCCCATCACTGTGACCCAGCTGACCATCGAGGTTCTACACCTGTCCCTCGTGGTGGGGCAGGTCACCAACAGCCTCCTCCTCCACATCGGCCCTTTGGCCAGCGAACAGGTGACCTCCTCTCCCTGGCCAGCCCTGCCCACAGAGGTGTGGACACGTGTGGGGGTCGGAAGGGGCAGCTGGGGTTGGGGCTCACCCTGTGCCCATTTGGTTGACAGATGTTTTATGCAGTGGCCAACAAAATCTGGGATGAAAACACATAGTAAGTATCGCTTGATCTCTTCTACCTTAGCCTCTTTCCCTGGTTGGAAACCCAGTGTTCATCCCTACCAGATTTCCTGGCTGCTTAGCAAACCCTGCAGCCAGCATTTGGCTTTCACTCTCGTGGCCAAGACTGCAATCTGCAAGGGATTCAGGGTCCCCAGCCCTCTGCCTGTTTGGACTTAGGTGGGAATGAAAACAGGCCAGAATTGGGTTAATTCTTACACTATGTGACCTTGGGCTCTTCAGCCTGAGTCGCTGAGAAAGACGAATGTCTTGTTTTCTGTTGAGGGAGGGGCTAACACACACCTGGGCCAAGCGTCTGGGGCTTGGAGGAACAATATCGCAGCAAGGGTGACATGCTCACCTTCCAGGGAGAGAGAAAGAGTAGGAGTGGCGTTTGGTGCCCCTGATGGAAAAGAGCCCAGGAGCCTGGGACCTGCAGGTCTTCTCCCAGCTGCCGGGCTGCTTAGTGTGAAACATGGTCCCGTGTTCTTTCTCTCTCAGCAAAATCTGTTCCTGGATGAAAATCAAAGTCCACCACGTGCTTTTGCACATCCAGTAAGTAGGGCTTGGAGCCCGGGTGTCCCCCCTCGCCCACTTCTGACCTCGGGCTCGCCTCTGCTCCACCTTGTGGGAGGAGTCATCCAGAGCTAACTCTGTGGATCTTTGTTGGCTCTTGGGAAAGCCGGTCCGGCCCCTTCCCTAGATCCTGCCTTGCTTATAAGCCCTCGGTGGGACAGCCACAGACAGAGCTGTCTGGATCACAGGTGGGACAGCTGTCCCAGGTGCGTTGGCAGGGTAGGGAGCAGAAGGAAGAGCGTGCAGTGTTTAAGAGAGTCCCCCCTCCCCAGACAGCAGAGCAGGGCCAAAGCTTTCCTCTTTGCCCTCAGACACAGCAACAAAGCCTGCTTCCTCTCCAGGGGCACCCTGACCTGTTCCTGCCTGAGCCATTCAGAGCAGCTAGTCTTCCAGAGCTATGAATACGTGGACTGCCGGGGAAACACGTCGGTGCCCCACTTGCTGGTCCCCCACCCGCCGTGACCTGTCCGCTGTTCCCGAACCCCAGGCCCCCGCCACGCTGGGCTGTGTCTCCCTGAGCCCAAGGAAGGACTACAGCGACTTTGCCAAAGGAAAAGCCCTGCTTTACTCTACCTCCTCCCCACCACACACACACACCCTCAGCACAGGAAGCCCTATGTAAAAGTTAACTTTACACACACACATGCATGCATGCATGCACGCCTCTCACGTCCTCTGACTTCCACAGGAAAAGAAGTCTGGTTCTTCTAGGGCCCAGCACCAGGCTTTCCGCTTGGTCTGTCCTGAGGAAAGTCTGACCTGATGTGTCTTCAGAGCTGCCTTAGAGTCCCTGGAGTGGCATCTGCTTTCTGTACTGAGCACTGTGGTTGCCTAGCCCCTCTGGGGCTGGCCTTCCTCCCGCCTGAAGGGAGAAATCTTTCCTTTTATCTGGCTTTTAAAACCTGGATCTTTTTCACGTTCTCCACCCAGTGGTGGGAAACTGACTTGAGGGACATCCATGCTGTCTCATGCCTTCCTGCTTTGGTCATGTGACAGAGTGGTGGTGCTGGTCAGCTTCTCTCCTGGTAACTTGGGCCCTGACAGCGAGGTTGGCTAAGGCCCTTTGGCTCGGCAGCCTCCCTGGTTAAAGACTGTCCCAGTTCCTAGGAAGACAGAGCTGTTCTCTGGCTAAAGCTTCTCTCCATAAAAATCGTTTTCTTATTCTCATCACAGCAGGAGTGAACGTAGTAGTGGGGGGGAGAGAGAGGCATCTGGCACCCCCTCCGCCTCTCCAGGAAAAACAGAGATGAGGCCAGAGTCATTCGGGAAGTTATTTATTGAAGTTAGGCTTCTGGCTGGTGGTCGGCCCACAGCGCTGAGCCCGTGTGAGTGGACACAGGTCGGTCAGACGACGGTGTCAGCAGCCGCCCAGTGACGGCCTGCAGAGGTGAAGCTGTCAGGATTCAGCCAAGCTGCTGGGCGCTACAGCATCCGCAGCATAACTCCAGGGCCCATCCTCTGCTCCCAGAGGCCTCTGCTTTCCTTCGGGCATGGACAGGCTGGAACTGCACATCAGTAGGGACTGGTCTCGACCTCTCCTCTTTGCTATCACTCAGATGCAGAAGCGAAGTCCCAGATAATGCAGGTTCCCACTGGGCTCCAGATGAAGGAGGTTTGTGGTGTCACTGAGCAGGAATGGTAATTGCTCACTTAAGGGAGCTGTGGTTTTTCTCAGGCCGGGAGGTGAACTTAGGTGGTGGGGCAAGCTGAATGCGAAGTTGGATGGATGGAGAGGGGGCAGTGGGGACAGCACCTGGCTAGCTGGCTGGGCAGACAAGGGGAAGGAAGGAGGTTGTCCTGTCTCCGCGCTTTCATGCCTGAGTAACTGGAGTCAAGAAGATGCTTGCAGGAGCACGGAAGTCCAGAAAGGCCAGGCTGGAGTTTCCGCTGTGTGTTGGTTGCCAAATGTCAAGGATTTATATCGTCTTCAATAAACTATACTTCACAATGTTAGAGTAAACAAAGAGTCTCCTGTGAGTTGGGAGGAGAGCTGGACGACACTCCCGGCCTCTTTCTGGGTGGCCGAGTGGGTGCCAAGCTCTCTTTCCCCAGGCCCAGAGCCCCTCTGCTCTTCTGGTTGCTGAGAGAGCACTCCTGGGAGCTCACTCTCTCCCTTCCTCCCACTGTGTGTCTCTGAAGTTCCCTCCCTACTTTAATATTCCTGTTCTGGGCCCCACCCCAGGTCCCCCGGCTGCCCCCCTCAGGAAACACTGCCCTGAGGGGCCTCTTCAGCCTGTGGGCTTCCTTGAAAGGCCCAGGCATCCCCTCACCAATGCCAGGTGGAAAAGGGGACAGGCTGTGGGAGGGACCCCGGGTGTCAGCTTCAGGAAGTGGTGAGGAGGTGAAACCTGTTTCCGGGAGAGGCTGAGGTGGGGGAAGGAAGAGGCCTGTGGGGTTCTGTGGGCCAGTACCCCTCCCCTTCCCAAGATCAGGTGTCCTGTACTTGAGGCTACAGCCCCCTTTCCTCTGAGCTCTTTCCACCCCTGCCTCCCATCATCCATGCCGCAGCTCAGCGCCCACTATGGGCCAGGCATTACACTGGACTTGGGGGGGCCCTGCCTGCCACCTCTAATGCTGCTCCAGGCCTGTTCCGGTGTGGTGCAACCCCTCCTTCCCCAGTTGTGTCTCAGTAAGCACCGGCCAGTGGAGAGGGGTGATGGCTCCAGTGAGAGTCCTCAACCTGGAGCCCCCAACAGGGGTGCCTGGGGGGCTCAGTCGGTTAAGCATCCACCTTGACTCTTTTTTTTTTTTTTTGACAGAGACATAGTGAGAGAGGGAACACAAGCAGAGGGAGTGAGAGAGGGAGAAGCAGGCTTCCTGTGGAGCAGGGAGCCCAATGCGGGGCTCGATCCCAGCGTCCTGGGATCATGACCTGAGCCAAAGGCAGACGCTTAACGACTGAGCCACCCAGGCGCCCCCCACCTTGACTCTTGATTTCGGCTCGGGTCATGATGTCAGGGTTGCAGGATGGAGCCCTATGTCTGGCCCTGTGCTCAGCAAGGAGTCTGCTCATCCCTCTCCCTCTGCTCCTCCCCTCACTTGCTAGAGCACACACATGGGCTCGTATGCTCTCTCTCTCTCTCAAATAAAATCTTTGAAGCCCCCGATAGACCTATCCTTGCTAAATAAGGGCCAGCAATGGAGCTATATAGACTTGGGAAGGCCAAGACCAAGTTCTCCCATTGGCTTTGCCTACAGAAGCATGGACTCAACCTACTTTCTTCTCCCACCCACTCCATCCCCTTCATGGGTCCTCATTCCCCTTTCCCTTCGTCCCAGTCTCACAGAGCTGACCAGTCTCTTGATTCTTTTTAGGAGGAAATCACATTTTATTCCCGGCTAGCTCCTCTTCTAGAGTGGATCAGGAGGGGGTGACTTGGAGTGGAGATGCTGGGGGTGAGAAAGAAGTCGTCTGTTTTTTTTGCTCATGGCCAGTGAGGTTGAGGGTCTCTCTCTGGGTCACCACTGCTGGGTGTAATTCGTTGACTGAGAAGAGGGAGAGACAAGAGGCAAACCGGGTTAGTTAGCCATTTCTGGGCCTGCTGTTCCAGAACATTGTATCAAGCCCTTTGAGGCCAGAGAAATAAAAGTAAAATGGAGTGGCCCAGTCCTCATCCTGACAGGGCTAGCATCAGTCTCTCTCATCCTTTGCACCTGTGCCAGAGAAACCTTCTTTCCAAAGCTTGTACTGTGTTATGTCCTTATCAAGAGTGACCACCCCAGGTTTGCAGGCCTGGATTGAGCCAGGTCCTAACCTAAGGGCTTGTGGTACCTTCTCTTTCAATTGCCACATTCAGTGGTCCGACACCTCTGTTAAGGAGGTAGTATTAGCCCTCTCATCTTATGGATGGGGCAGATGAGGCTCAGAGATGCAGTCACGCTGCTGGGGACTGGCCATCCCGAGACTCACAGCCTGTGACTTCATGTCTTGCCTTCCTCCGGCTCCAGCTGCCTCCGCCCCAATCAGCACTTAAAAGAGCCCCTCTGTTTTGCTTCTCTGGCACCTGGTCCGTCTTTTTTTTTTTTTTTTTAAGATTTTATTTATTCATTTGAGAGAGAGAATGAGAGATAGAGAGTGTGAGAGGGGAGAGGGTCAGAGGGAGAAGCAGACTCCCCGCCGAGCAGGGAGCCCGATGCAGGACTCGATCCCGGGACTCCAGGATCATGACCTGAGCCGAAGGCGGTCGCTTAACCAACTGAGCCACCCAGGCGCCCCTGGCCCGTCTTTTTGAATCAACTGTCAACGCCTCCGTTTCTGCTGAGTGCCGAGCAACAGGCCACAAATGGAGGAATGGGCCGTTCAGCAGTGACTATATAATTGCATATAAAGGCTTTATGTAATTGACTTTTTAAAATATAAATAATTGCAGCCCCTCCCGCCAAGGAAGCCTCTCTAGATTCCACACACACACACACACACACACACACACACACACACACACACACACGCAGCCAGAGTCGACCTGCCTTTCACACTGTCTCACCGTGAATCGTGAGTGCTCAGTGTATTTATCTGGATTTGACTGGAATGAGTTCCTGAAACCTGATGGTGAAACAAGCATACATTATTCATCTGACAGTTTCTGAAAATGGAACACGGCAGAGCTGGACTCTCTACTATGTGTCTGGGGGGCAGGGGGCAGCCCCTACCTAGGGCAAGGCAGAGACAGAGCCCACCCTGAAAATTCACACCCGGGAAGCTGCACCGTGATTCCTGTTCCAGACTTCCCAGGGCTCAGCTCATCTCTTGTTAAGCCCACCCTTACTCCCTCTGACACCCTTGCCCCGGAGGAGGGGCTGCCACCCTCTGCAAAAGTCAACAGCTTCCTTTGCACCCCCAGAGTGATGCAAACGTCCCTGGGGGGGAGTGGCCCCCAAGTAAAGGCCAGGGATGCCTGGCAGAGTCAGAGACAGTGGGAGGACAGAGGTGAATTCTGGACTATAGGGCTGGGGGTGGGAGCAGGGAGCTCTCTCCTCACCACCTGTCCTCCCAGGCATCTCACTTACTAGGGCCTTGAGGGGGTTTTGTTCCTCCTGGGAATCTGTTAAAGTCGGATTGCCCTCCAGCTTGATGGGTCCCTACTGAGCCAAGCTGGGGACCTGGCTTTTGGGAATCCTGCAGAATGTGCACAGACGTGCACTGAGTCAGAGGGTCTTGGGCATTCTGTTGCCTTGGCTGAGGCGGTGGCGGCGCGGGTGGGGTCTGTGACTGCTCCAGGAGCTTCGGTCGGGGAGGCTGCGGTTGGGCGGGGGGCGCCTGCGGCTCTGGTGGCGCTCCTGGTGGCCTCGGCGGCAGTGACAACTGCTGCTCCTGTCGCGACCCCTGAGGGGGCTGGGGTCTTTTCTCAGATTGGCCTTCCTCCTCTTGGAGTTTCTTCAGTTCCTGCAAGAAGCCCCCCGCAAGTGGCATCCTCCTCCCTCCCCACCCAGTTGCCCATCTGCCAGGGACACTGCGGGGAGCAAGGCAAGCCATCAGTGGAGAGGCACAGGTGGCCGGAAGGTCTCTGTTCCCTGG